GAACCTGCCCGAGGGGAGACTGAGATGAGCTCTTAGGCAGAAGCTCTTCCCTGTGAGGGTGCTGAGGCGCTGGCACAGGGTGCCCAGAGAAGCTGTGGCTGCCCCATCCCTGGCAGTGTTCAAGGCCAGGTTGGACACAGGGGCTTGGAGCAAGCTGCTCCAGTGGAAGGGGTCCCTGCCTGTGGCAGGGGTTGCACATTCAATGAGCTTTAAGGTCCCTTCCAATCCAAACCAGTCTGGGATTCCATGATTCTATTCCCACAGAGCTGCAGGCCCCAGCCTCCAGACACAAGTGAAGGCAGTATCATCTGGATTGAGGGTGTCCCACAGCCCCCAAACCAGCCAGCCCCACATACCAAGCTCGCCCTTCACTCGCTCCAGCTCGCTCTTCACATGCTTCAGCTCCTGAGACAGCTGATCACCTGCAGACTGGCAAGGGCGGATTCTAAGTGTGATGCAGGGGTGGTCACCCCCTAAAAGCTGCAGCACAGCTCTAGCACAGCCCATGCTGTGGAGGAGTACCTCTGCAGGCAGCACACACACCCCAGCAGTTCTCTGGGCTTAGGGAGCCCTGCTCAGCCCCTCAGTGTGTCAGAGCAGAGCTCCATCTGACATTCACCCCTGCTGCAGGAGCCTGGGCCTGCTCCAGCACAGCGCAACCGGCACCCCGGCCTCGCACCCCCCACTGCCAGGGGTGCTCAGTGCAGCAGCAGTGCCTGGCAAAAGGACCATCGGTCACTTGTCAGGGAGCACCTGCCAGTGCCTGTGGGTCACAAGAACCAACCTGGCAGGAGAGCAAAGAGCCCCAATACTGCTGGCAAAAAAACAGACACATGCTGCAGGTAGGAGATTTCACACCCTGGAGCCTCACTTTGCTGCAAAGCTCTGCTCACCCCATCCTAGGGATGGATCAGGAGGTCTAAAAGTGACATCACAAGGCACAGGGGGTGTGCATCTTTCAAAAACCTCTGAAAAAAAATAACCGCGCAGAAGCCTGCAGTGCCCTGAGCAGCAGAGAGGGGGCAAAGCCCACAGCAAATGCACAAGGTCTTGCACAAACCCTACGGAAAGGCTAAAACAGCTCAGGTGCCAATCCAGAAACTGGCAGCCGCAGGCGCCATCACCTCCCACCTCCTGCAGAGCTGACCCAAACCACCGGCTGAGCGGTGCCCTGTGCTGCCAGGTCACAGCTGGCTCTTACCTGCTCAGAAGAGACTGCATCCTCACCCCCTGGGGCTGGGCCAGGGGGCATCTCACTACAAAGAGAGGACTCCCCGTACACCCACGTCTGGTCAGCCTTACCTGTGGAGAGAAGCATCATCACTAGAAACTGCCACCCCTGGCCCCTCTTCAACCACGCTGCTGCTCCAGACCAGGGGCAGAACCTGCACAAGGGAGCCAGAGGTCTTCAAGCCCCTCCAGCACAAGAGCTGCTGCTGGCCTGGCCCATACAGGTGCTGCTGGGAGAACATCCTCCTGCACAGCCCAACTCACAGCAGCTCTGAGCTCCTGCCCACGTTTCCCCAGGCCCAGCCCAACACAAGGTGAGAATCCACCAGAGCCCAATGCAGAAATGCAGACTCTCCTCCCTGTGCCACGACCACAAGACGCTTGGTTTTCTGCAGGCCTTTGGCAGTCAGGAGCCTGGTAAGCCCCAGAAGGGCTCCCTTCTATTTGGGACGAGCTCCCTACTCCCGCATGGGACCACACCATGGAATACTGCTCACCTGCTCCTGAGACGGTCCCAACCAGCCATTCTTTGCTCTCATCATCTTTCCTCAGCTCCTGGGTCCTATTGCACAACTGCTCCTGTGTAGTCGATCCTGAAGTGGCTGGAATGCAGGAAAGGAAAGCAAAGCGCATCAGCCTCTGCTCACAGAGTGCCCTGGCAGCAACACGCGCTGCCCAGGGCCGCTCCCTGCCCCACGGATGAGCCACAGCACCAGATCTGCCGAGGCTCTTTGCTGGATGCCTCTCCAGGGAAAGGGGCTGCCCCTGCTCTGAGCCCAAGCACCCCCTGTCCCCTCCTGTCCCTCCCTCAGGGTCAGCCCTGCCCTGAATGCTCTTCCCAAGGCAGCACCCCCTCCCGTGACACGGGAGCCTCCGGGCCCATGCCCAGGCTCACTCTTACCGTGGAAGCGCTTGGGGGAAGCCGCCTTTCCCAGAGGCCGCAGCCGGGAGCGAGAAGCCACGGTAGGAACTGCTGTGGAGAGCCTCCGGGAGGGCTGCCGGCGCGCTCCGGCGCGGGCACCACCTGCAGCGGACAAACAAGGCACAAACGTCAGGCCCCAAAGCAGCTACAAGCGCCCCGCGCCTGGGGCAGCCCGTCCCGACCTGCGGGCACCAGCACCCCCGGGTGGGGCTCCAAGCCACCGGGCTGCCGGCGGCCCGTGCCGGGCCAGGGTAACACAGTCCAGGGCGTGCTCCTGGGCTCGCAGGGACCCCCCCGGCTCTGCCCCTGCCCCAGTCGTCCCCCCCCCCGCCCCGCGCCCCGCAGGTGCAGTTACCTTCGGTCCCTTTGTCCCGGGGGGCGGCTTTGGGAGCGCCCGGAGGCTGCGGCGGCCACGGAGCCCTGCTGGCGTGCTGAAGCCTGGACTTGGCCTCAGGCACCGGCCTCAGCTTGGTACCTGGGGACAGAGAGAGGTTCGCGGCCGGCGGAAGCAGCCGCCGTGCTGGGGGCCCTTCCCCCCCGACCCGGCTCACCTGCGGGCTGCGGGAGATTGGATCCCGGGGCACCGAGCCCCTTCCCGGCCTTGGGGAGCTGCAGGACCAGCGAGGCCCGTGCCTGGGACAGGGACTGCCTGCCGCCGCGCCGCGGGGTGCGGGCCGCGGGGCCCTGCCGGCCGCAAAGCTGCTGTGCGGCCCCGCGCTGGGCCGTTGTGCGAGGCAGCGCCTGCGGGCGGGCGGGGCGAGAGCCGGCGGCGCGCGGCGGGAGACACCGGGGCGAGCCCCGGGCCGGGGTCGGAGCCGCGGCCGCCTCAGGGCCAGGCGACCGCGGGCGGGCGGCGGCGGCGGCGGCGTCCGGGGCCGCATCGTTCCCGGGCGGCGAGTCCGGCAGCGGCGTGGAGGTGACGAACCCGGCGGACTCGAGCCAGAGCGCGCTGCGGTCGCCCGGCACCAGCGAGGGCTCGGCGGCCTGGCGCAGGCGCGCGACGATATCGCGACACTCCTGCTCGAAGAAGCTCAGGAACAGCGAGGACGGCGGCGACCGCGCCCCGCTCCCCTCCCGCGGCGGGTCCGGGCACAGCCGCGAGTCCGCCCGCCGCATCCCGCACCGGCCCCGCGCCCCGCGCCCCCTGCCGCCGCGGAGGAACACCCGCACCCCTCCCGCCACCGCGCCCCCTGCTGTCCCGGAGGACCATCCACACCATTGCAGCTGGGGCGCCCCCTGCTGCCCCGGAGGACCAACCGTGCTCCTCTCGCTACGGCGCCCCCTGCTGCCCGGGAGGACCATCCACATACCTGCAGCCGTGGCGCCCCCTGCTGCCAGGAAGAACCAACCTCTCTCCTCCCGCTTCAACGCCGCGCAGCGCCCCCCCGGCCCCGGTAGATGCCCGTTAGACGAGGCAGAGACGTGGCTTCACAGTGGTTTAATGCTAACGGAACGTTACACTGGACGGGATGGAGACAGCTGGGCGGGCAGGACACGGAGGGCACGAGGAGGGGGCCGGAGCTGAGCCGTGATTCAGGCACGGGCGGCCGCCTCCACTGGCACCCACTGCCCTTCCCGGGCCCTCGGGGCAGCTCCCTCCTGGCATCAGCTACTTCTGCTCCTCCCTGAGAGCCACCCCCACCCATCAGCGCCAGTGCCTCACTGAAAACCCAGAAGTGCAGGAGGCCTCGGGGGTTGTACGGCAGGGATGGAGAGCAGTCACTGCAGGCGCGTGCTCAGAGAAGGTCTCAACTGTGCCACCACAAAGGGCCACCACAAAGCGACCAAGCGCTAACAGACCAGCCAGCCTTGACCTGAGCAGCCTCCAAGCTGAGGCCCAACCCCGCTCCTCATAGCTGGAGGAGCCTTCAAAAGACGGTTCTGCTCCAGCAAGTCACAGCCTCGTGGTTCCCCTAGCTCTGAACACCTTCCTGACCAGTCCCGTGTCCTCACTCCCACACAACTGCCTAGCTCCCTGCGGAACAGGGGAGCACACACGCAAAGCCTCGTTCCTCCTGCTGCACAATCAAATGCTAATCCAGGACTCACTGGCCATTTTCTGCCAGTCCCTTTCTAGAGGTGAAAGGGACCTCAGCCCAGGCCCCACCGCTGGGTTCCTCCCACGGCAGCCACCACACAACAGCCCCATCAGCCCCTCAGCAAGACCTGTCTGCTCCCCTCTGTTGCCGGGGCACAGGGTAGGGTCACCCTGCGCACTAGAGCACCCCAGCACACACTGCCGCAGCCCAGGCTACCCCAGCTTCCACACACCAAAACGCCTACAGAGAGCACACATTATGGAAACCCCTTGAGCTGCCAGCAGCACGTTAGGAAGGAGGGAGATTAACACAGATACAGCTCACGGGTCCGTAACGCAGGAGTCTGAGAGCAGGATTAGAGGAGGTCCTTGCCCAGGAAAGTCTCAGCACTTCCATACAGTGAAGAATGGGGGTTTCATGCAGGGTGAATGGGGTGGATGAGAGACCAACACACCCAGGCACCTACTTGCTGTTCTGGATAGTTACTAAAACTCGTAACACCTGATGTGATCCCTGACCATGACAACTGCTATTCTTCAGTCTCCTGCAGAGATGCTTGGGGGCTGCACAGACAGGGGGGAGTGAATGTCATCTCATACCTTCCTGTTCAGGGAGAGAGGCAGCTCCTACACCATAACGTCATAAGCAAGCTCCTGCTCCACACCACACCTGCCCCTCGGCACAGGACAACACACTCACTTGCATAAGTCTTCATACTTTAGGCCAAGACCACAGCCCAGTAGAACAAGCTGCTGCCAGTTACAAAAGAGGAAAATACTGAACAAACTGGGAGGTTCAAGAGAGGAAAAGCTGGTTCAGAGAAGACAGATTTAGTGTAAAAATAAATGTCATTTTTGCAGGAAGGAGGGTGGAATGGAGGAAGACGCTGCCAGGTGCTCCTACTGGCGTACTTTCCCTGGGACGTAGTTCCTATCAATAGTCTCCTCTTGCAGGAACATGTGTAAGCAGCGCTCATTCTGTGCCAGGGGGTGTCCAGCAATTCTGGAAGAAAATTAGATGTGGGGGTCAGCAGAGCCACCAGCAGAACCCCGCCCCTGCCCTCCTCACAGAGCAGCCAGCTGGAGGCACCCAGGCTCAGGCCATGGTCACCGGTCAGCAGGGCCAGAGAGAAGTGCTTGAGCACAGCGTGCTTCTCCCCCCACCATCCCGAATCCAGGCCACCCTGTCAGTGGGTCTCTGCAGCACAGCTGTCCTCTCGTATCCTTGTCACTCTCAGAAGAGAACACTGAGCAGAACCCACAGCTTTGGCACCGTGCTTTCATTACCCGGCTGCAGACACGGCACCTGAGGGCAGGCTCCCTCCCGGCCAACCCACGGCCCTCGTGGCTGGAAAGGCAGCACACAGCAACGCAGGACATGGGGCTTACTTGTTAATAAACTGTTCTAGTCCCTGTCTCCGCTCCTCAATGAAGGACTCCTCAAAGATGCCTTCGTCTCCCCGGAAGGGAAGCTGTCGTTTCAAAGCTTTTCCAGGCAGTGGTGGCACTACAATCTGAGAGCACAGACCCATCCCGTCAGCACAATGGCCATCCGCTAGCGGTTTGCCTATGACACTCACCGCCAGCCCCATTATGTGGCTAGAGATTAAACCCCAAGAGCTGCCCACCACCACCGCCTCTCTTCTGGGTGGGTCAAGATTATTGCTACAACTGTTCCCATATGTCCTGGCTGCAGGAATAGGCAGGTCTCAGCCAGGCCTCACCTTACTGTCCCGTTCCAGCTCATTCTTCAGCCATTCGAAGTCACTGTACCGTCTCCTCACACACGACTCTTTCAACTTGAAGATCGGGAGGTTTGTCTGTAACAAAGAGAAGCAGTTCATGTACAGGTTGCTTTGGAAGGCAGACAGGATTTCAACATGTAACTGAAACCTGAAGCTGTGTATAGAAAACCAAGCCCCCTGAGAAAGAGGCATCATGAGCACACCCAACTGCTTTATTTAGGACATAAGCACTGAAATGCTTCAGAATCAAGCAAGTCCTTGCCAGGCTGCTCAGAACCACCCCCTCCCCTCAAGTGACTATTTCAGGAGCACACCCCCTCCAGGGGCACGCTGGAACCAGGGCTCACAATCAGAGAAGGCCGATTTCTTTCTTTACCCCCGAGTTCACTCCTTTTTGCAGTGATCTATGAGAGAGCTTCACACCAGCCTGCAGAGCAGAAGAACCTCAGAGCCAACACTGGCACTCACAGGGAAGAGCTAAGGAAGGAAATCTTGTCCCAGCAACTGCTCAAGGTCAGATCTCCCGCTACAGTCCTCCCTAGAAACAGATCGCTTGCCCTAACAAGAGAGCAGCCTTTCCATCTCTGGCTTCTGTCACTGGAGGAACATGCAGCACTTCCCACCTTCCTCCCCTATCACTGTCTTGAGACTGACAGCTACAGCAACTTCACCTTTACCCCGTCAGTGCAGCCGAGAACGTCCAAGGAACAGAAGCAGCCAGACCTTCTGATAAGCAGCGCCCAGATGAACACAGGTACTGCTGCAACGTGTTTAACTATGTTCTTAGGAGGTCTGTGAAATAAAATCAACCACTTTCCACCTTCAAAGTGTCTCTGCAAGAGCTAGTTTGGGGGGACTAAGAGGTTCTCCTTGCCCCCTGCCAGGCACCCTTTGGCTGGCTGATGGAAACCAAGTGTCATAACAGGTAAAGGCAAAAACCCAATTCTGAAAGGCACCGGGGACTTGGCCGTTAAATCACCCTGTGAGCAGGAGTCAGCACCAGTGCTGTGACACACTAAAGGGAGTCTGTTTCAGGGGAAGCGCAACTTTACTTCTTTGCGCTATCAGATGCAGAGCTGTGAAGAGGTCGCCACTTGAGCCTGGTTAAGGCCCAGGAAAGAGAACCCTGCAAGAAGTGCCCGGCCTCTCTGCACATGGCTGGATCACGGGCTCTCTGTAAAATGATCAATCTGACTTGGCGACATGGACAGTGGGATCAAGCACCCTCAGCAAGTTTGCCCACACCACCAAGCCGTGCGGTGTGATCCACACATGGGAGGGAAGGGATGGGATAAAGAGGGACCTGGACAGGCTGCAGAGGTGGGACCATGTGAACCTCATGGAGTTCAACAAGGCCAAGGGCAAGGTCCTGCCCCTGGGTCGGGGCAATCCCCAGCACAAACACAGGCTGGGGGGGACAGGATGGAGCAGCCTGAGGAGAAAGACTTGGGGTGTTGGCTGAGGAGAAGCTCCCCATGACATGGCTTCAGTGTGTGCTTGAGCCCAGAAAACCCTATGTGCTGGGCAGCATCCCCAGAGCATGAGCAGCAGCTCAGGGAGGGGATCCTGACCTCTGCTGTGCTCTGGAGAGACCCCCCCCCCCGCAGTCCTGATCCAGCTCTGGGGCAACAGCACAAGAGGGACATGGAGCTGTTGGAGCGAAGCCAGAGGAGGCCACGGAGCTGCTGTGAGGGCTGGAGCAGCTCTGCTCTGGAGCCAGGCTGAGAGAGCTGGGCTGGGTCAGCCTGGAGAAGAGAAGGCTCCTGAAGGGGAGACCTGAGAGCAGCTCCAGTGCCTAAAGGGGCTGCAGAAAAGCTGGAGAGGGGCTTAGGACAAGGGATGGAGGGACAGGCCAAGGGGAATGGCTTTAACCTGCCCGAGGGGAGACCGAGATGAGCTCTGAGGCAGAAGCTCTTCCCTGTGAGGGTGCTGAGGCGCTGGCACAGGGTGCCCAGAGAAGCTGTGGCTGCCCCATCCCTGGCAGTGTTCAAGGCCAGGTTGGACACAGGGGCTTGGAGCAAGCTGCTCTAGTGGAAGGTGTCCCTGCTCGTGGCAGGGGTTGGAACTAGATGAGGTCCCTTCCAACCCAAACCAGTCTGGTGTTTTATGAGCCAGGAGGGGTAGCTGGACTGTACTGTGATCAGGTCCCGAGATACTGCTTAGACAGCACTCCTTTCTCCTCCCCTGCTTCAGATACCCAGCTGCATGCAGTCACGCCTTGCTCAGCAACCACGCAGCAGTGCTCAAGTGCCAGGCCATGGACCCTCGAGGGGACAGCGGCAGGAGCCTGCTGAGGCAGCACCCTCCCTGTCCCTGTGCACACCAGCGCTCGCTGCGTGCCGAAGGGCCCCTGCAAACCCGCCAGCCCCGGTGCTGACCTTGAGCCCCGGACCGCGAAGAGCCGCAGGCAAGCTGCCAGCCCCGCCCGGCACCGCTGGGCCCGCGGCGCAGCTCCCCAGGCCCGGACACTCCGAGCCCCCGGAACGGCGCCCGGGGCCGCCCTGGCCGGGTCCCGCCGCACCCACCGTGCAGGCCGCGCTCGACCCGAGCAGCGGGACCTCCCCGGCCCGGCCCCGCGCAACGAGTGCGGCCGCTCCTCCCCGGGCCGTACTCGCGGCCGCTGGCAGCGCAGCCCCGCCCGGGTCCCCAGGACCCGCCCCGGGCCCGCAGGCCTCGCGAGGGCCGCACCCGCATCCGCAGCTCGTAGCTCGTGTATCTGGCGCGGCCCATGCCCACGGTCTGCGGGTTGAAGATGTCGATCTCGAGGAAGTTGCTAGGCGGCCCGTACGCGTCCGTGAGGTCCTGCGGCTTGGCGTTGAGACGCCGGGTGTCCGCCACCGCCGCCTCCGACATGGTGGTGGTGGTGCCGCCGCCGCCGTCCGCCGCCGCACCCGGCCCGCCCGCTGCCGCAGCCCGCCCTGCCTGCGCACGGCGCGGCGCCGCCCCTCTGATGCCTGCATAACTCAGCGGGTATCCAGGGTTCGGGGCCTCTCAGCTGCCGCCGCGCCCCGGCCGCCAGCGCCACCGCCTGCATAAGCGGAATAGGTATTCAGGGCGCGGGGCTGGACACGGCGCTGCCCCGGAACCTGCACGGCGGGCTCGCTCACGGCGCTGCCCGGTACGCTCCAGCGCGGTCCCCGCGGGACGATGCCGAGCCCTGGGCCGCGCCGGGAGCCTGGGCTGGCGACTAGGGTGCGGAACCGCAGCACGTACTTAGGAACTGCGCCATACAGGGCCCCGGGCAGGGCCAGCCCCGGGCGCTGTACGAGGTGCAGAGCGCCGGGGCCCCGGAACGTGGCTGCGGACTGAGGGGCTCGGGCCCGTCACGGCTCGCGCTGAGGCGTGTCCCGGACCCGGGCTCCCTGCCGGGGCGGAGCTCCCGGACCCGCACCCCCGAGCGCGGCGGGCACAGAACCGAGGCCGGCCGGGGGCGCGCCGCCTGCCACGCGCACCCTCCGCGGCCTGACCCCGCCCCCGGGGCGGTGCACGCTGGGTTTTGTAGTCCTCCGGCCGTGCCGCGCCGCGTACCACCGCCTCGCCGGCACTACGACTTCCGGCGTGCCCCTCGCGCGCAGGCGCAATGAGTGGCGCTGCCCGCTGGTAAACAGAGCGGCGCGGCGGGGCCCAGCGCTCACAAAGCGGCGCGGGCAGGGGCGAGGCCGATGCGCTGCCGGGGGTTCGCTCAGCCCCAGAGGCGACGGCGCTGAGGTGCGGGGTGGGGAGGACCCATGGCGGAGGCGGGCGGCGCCGCGGCGGCGCCCGACATCGACCCCGACTTCGAGCCGCAGAGCCGGCCGCGCTCCTGCACCTGGCCCCTGCCGCGGCCTGAGCTGCCGGCGGAGACGGGCGGCGCGGCGGGCGCGGCGGAGGAGAGCGCGGGCGGCGCGGCGGCGGGCCCCGGGCGGGCCGAGGGGGCGCGGGCGGCGGCGCGGAAGGGCGGCTCCCGGCGCAACGCCTGGGGCAACCAGTCCTACGCCGAGCTCATCAGCCAGGCCATCGAGAGCGCCCCCGAGAAGCGGCTCACGCTGGCGCAGATCTACGAGTGGATGGTCCGCTCCGTCCCCTACTTCAAGGACAAGGGCGACAGCAACAGCTCCGCCGGCTGGAAGGTGCGCGACGGGGCGGGAGGGATGGGCCCGGCCTTCGGCGGGGCTCCCGCGGCGGGCCGGCGCCGGGGCGACGTGTCGAGGAGCGACTGCCCGAGGCGCTTTCCTGCTCCTCGGCCTCTCCCCGGCCCTTTCCCTGCGCTCACCTGGCGCCACTCGTCCCTACTGGGGTTCGGCGGCGGTGCCAGCGGGGGGCCGGGGGTTCTGCTCTGCTGGAGCCGCTCGGCTCGGCTGGTGCGGGTTTGCCCGCCCGGGGGCGCGGGGACGGGGCTTTCCAGACCCAGCCCGAGCTCAGGCTCTGTGCAGTTGGAACAGGGAGGAGCGGGCGTCTCAGGGTGGGTGGTTACGGCACAGCCCTGTGAGACGGCTTTGTGTGCCCTTCGAGTTCGGGAAGTTGTCCAGGAAGGAGCCAGGGGCGGTAAAAAAGGCCGTGATAACCGCTGTGCGAGGCGAAGCATCAGTTGAAGGGGTTTTAAACGCAAGGCTGTGGTGCTTTGTCACATGACTGTGCTGAAGCTCAATATAAATAACTGTTTCATAACAGGCATTCTTGGCTTTCAGGAGACTCCTTTTAAAAAGGTTGTTGTGTCCCAGAGCAGTGTCAGCATTGTGGCCACGCAGGGACCGGCAATCTCGGCTGGAGTTCAGAAAAGTGAAAGCAATATCCTGCTCTAGGGTCTCAGCGTTGTATTCTCCTCTTGTTCTGGAAGTAGGCGTGTGGGAAGCTCTATTAAAAGAGCTATTCTCAGTTTCTGTCTTCTGTAGGCAGCAGCTGGTTGTTCCCATCTCTTTAGTCAAGCGGACTCCAGTGAAGAGGAAGGGAGATGTGAGAGTTTTCTTGGCAAATGGTCTCTCGGGCTGTCCTGATCTATCACAGTGGATGCTGTGGTGACTGTAGTCTAAAGACTCTGTTCTGCTCTTGCTACAGGCTGGAGTTGTGTTTGTTTGGCTCCTGGTTGCAGTGTACCTCTCTGTTTGCGGTGTTGGTTAGCAGTTCATCACAGCTTGAGACACCGTGGTTTAGGGCTTCCGTGACTCCAGCCACATGCTCCTCTGCCTATGTGACTGAGCAGTAAGTCAGCACAGAGAGTGAATTCTGCTTTTTCTGGCAGGTGAGCTTTCAGCTGGCTCAGCTCTCAAGTGGCACCCCATGTGGTTGCATGAGTATGAATGTTTGCCCGACAGAAGGTAGGAATGCAGTGAGAGGGACACAGATGTCACAGCCTAGGCTGGCACAGGTAGATAGAAAGACCATCTTTTCCATGTATCCTGCTCACTGACATGTCTTGGAGAGCACACGTTATTTCACTGAAACTTTTTTTTCTCTCCTTTGTGCAGGTTGAATCCTCCTAATTAAGACCTGATTTGGGGCAGTGCTTGGGTGCATTTTCTTTCTCTTCAGAAGATTTAGTGCTCTCACTGGAAGATAGTTCTTGCTTCCTCAGGCTAGGTGTGCTGTCCTGGTCCTGCTGCCACTGTGTGGAGTCATTACTTTGGCAGACAGCTTATGGAGCTGGTACATTTTCTTTTCACGAATATGTCTGTACCTGTTTGGCAGGAGTGCCTGAGACTACTCTTCTGAAACGTATCCACGATATTGTGGGGAAGGTGGGCTATAGCAAAGTGTCCAGCTGGACTGGATGCTACCTACTGGAAAAGGTAGACTTCTGGCTGTATTAAGTGTGGCTGTTCTTTTGCTGTATTCATTTATGTGCAACAGGACCATCGGTCTTCGTAATTACTCTGTGGTTTAACTGTGTATCTGTTTTGGGAAGCGCAGTTGGACTTAACTTGCAGAAAGGTGGGAATGAGAACTTGTGCATGTGTGAGGTCCCTGCTCAGAGACTGTTGTTGGAGCTGTACTGTGATGACTGTTCAGTGGGAAATTCAGTTGTAGGTTTTCATCCTGGGAGTGGACTAACTCTGGCTGGCTTTAGGAGGGGAAGAGAACAGAAACCTCTTCCCAGGAAAGATGTGGGAGGGCAGAATGCCAGCATTGGTGGTGGCAATCAGCCTGCCTTTTGATTAGTGCAGTTTCAGACCCTTGATTTGAACCTGCAAACAGAAAACCATGGTAGAAATGCAGATGAAACTGTTACAGTGCCGGGGAAAATGCTTATAAAAACTTGTTTCCATTTTTAGCAAATACTGTCAGAGTTTGAGGGGTGGGGGAGTGTGGTTAACCTTACATGCTCAGTAAGAGGCTGCCTTTTCTTCCCTGTTCTCGCCAGTCCTGTTGGCAGGGCTTGGCAGCATGTGTGCCCCATCACGTGTGACTGCAGAGCTCTGAATTCTACTCTTGTTTTGTTATGTTAACGATGTTAACAATCAGCTCTATAGATTTGCAAGAGGTTTTGTTTGTTTTACTGACTTTATTTGCATCAAGGTGCATTGGATGGAAGCAGGTTAGACACAGTTTTAAAGATGCGGAATCAATCAAACGAGTTCAGTTTGATTTTGTGGACTTCGAGTAAATTATTAGAGTTACTTAAATTTCATTTTAATAAATTAAATTTTATTACATTTATGTAGGTGTGTGTTTTATATTTAAGACAAACTGAATAAATGTGTTTCTTTAGCTGAGGAATGGACCTGCCTGGTGCTTTGTTGTCATTCTTCTGGTTATTTTTTAAAGCTGTGGAGCTCTGCTTCTTTTCTATTTATTTATTTTTAATAATCTGTGAAGTAAAAGGAAATCGTCTGGAACTTTTTTTGCTTTATTGATTCCTCAGTTTTGAACTGAATGAGTTGGGATAAAGGAAATTGATGTGGAGCTGCAGCTAAATGCTGATGCAGCATTTGGGTGCCTGTGAATATTACAGTTCCTAGTTCTGGTATTTCTGTGTTGTTTGGGCAAGTGGTACTGACAATGCATCTTACCTGTATGTAGTGTAGTTCTAATAGGGAATTTTAAATGGGAATTTAAAAGAAATGTGCCTTTAAAAACTTTTAAAATCTACTTTAGTTAATATAAATCCCATCAAGTCCTTGTTGCTTCACAAGTACTTTCCAGCTGTCCTTCTCCACTATACAATGGGGGGAAATGCAGCTGTTGCAAACTGCCAGGGTGTAACCCCTGTGGATTCCGGAAGGATCTGTGTTTCGAGGAAGGTAGTGTTTGCTGTTCTTGAACTCCTCCGAGCGCTTTGTAAAGGACAGATTTGCTGGTGTGCGGCTGAAGTTAAGAATTAACCAGCCTGAAAGACAGAAATGCCCTCGCAGGGGCACGTGTGGTGCTGCTGCTTTGTAATCCTCGGTTCTCTGCAAGCTGCTCTGTGCATAAGAGGATAATTCCTTCTGGCTTTCTGATTATTTGGAGAGCAAGGTGTTGAGGGTTTTGAATAAAGCAGAAGCTCATAAACCCCCCTGAAGCAGCCTCATGGCTGCATTTCTCACATCCATGAGAGGGTTCAGAGGAGAACCACAAAAATCATGAGTGGCTGAAGCACCTCTCCTGTAAGCAAAGGCCGAGAGAATTGAGGTTGTTCAGCTGAAGAAGAGAAGACTCTGGGGAGACCTTATTTCGGCCTTTCAGTTCTTAAAAGGGACCTATAAGAAGGATGGGGAGAGACTTTTCAGCAGGGGCTGTTGCAGCAGGAGGAGGGGTGGTGGGTTTAGACTGAAAGAGGGAGATTGAGGCTGGATGTGAGGAAGAGACTTTGTAGAGTGAGGGTGGTAAAATCCTGGCACAGGTTGTCCAGAGAGGTGGTGGATGCCCCATCCCTGGAGACATTGCAGACCAGGCTGGATGTGGTTCTGAGCAACCTGGTCTGGTTGAACATGTCCCTGCCCATTGCAGGGCATTGGACTGGATGAGCTTTGGAGGTCCTTTCTCACCTGAACCATTCCGTGAGTATGAGCAAGTTGGACACAATGAAGAGCTGTTGAGGACAAGTTAAGGACTTTTCTTCCTCAGTGAGACATCCTGTGTGTTCTCTCCAAGCTGTTGTCTTTCCCTTTGTAGGAACAGAATGAACTTTAAGG